CGCGCCTCGCGCTGGTCTGGAGTCTGCTGCTCCTCCTACCCCTGCTTCCCTGCCTGCCTCCCGCCGCCGCCCAGCCTTGCCGTGGGCTGAGGAGCCGGTTCGCGGGCCCGCAGACCCCCTCTTGCCCCCGAAGAGCTGACTCTCAGTCTGCGGCTCCCGGCCCTTCTACTGAAAATGCCACACAGCCCCTGCTCGTCAGCCTTCTCTGCTCTCCCTTGATTTTCTAACCAAGGGCGGCGGTGGACTGGCCTTGTCTTAGTCTTAGGTCAGGCCTGGTTGCTACTGCAGACAGCGTGCTTTGGCCAAACCTGAACTGCTGGGCTTTGTGAGATTAAAAATTCGGCGCAGGTGGGCAGGCTAGATTTTGTAGCACCTTGACTCTTGGACTAACATCTGTTCATCTTCAAACTTTTCCCCCATCACCTTCTTCTTCCTTTCGGCTTCCCCTGGCTAATTTTTCTTGTTTGGATCATCAGGTTTTTTCATTTAGCTACTTTCTACCCACCTTAAAAAAAATCAAAGTGCTGATTAAGTGAAACTGTGATACATGCTGGAGTTAACCACCATCACACTGCTCACTAGATTTGTTTTTTTCAGCCTTTTGTCTTTTGTATTCAGCCTGTGCGGCCACCAGGCGGGGATAGTCTCTAAAGTGCCCAGCGATGTTGCATAAGGCTTAGTGTGAACCAAAATTACAGTTGCAGTTGCTTAACTTCCTTGGCAAACCCCTAATCTTGCTGTTTGATTCTGTATCTGCACAATGGGAGTAACAATACTTGTTTTCACTCCCTCTTCAGAGATATTAAAAAACAGTCCAGACATGGACCTGGGCAACTGGCTGAGCAGGGGGTTGGACAACGTGAGCTCCGGAGTTCCCTTCCAGCCTCAACCGCTCTGCAGTTCTGTGATTACCACAGAAGGTGCAGTGAGGAGATGACTGACAGTTGCATACTACAGGGATGGAGGCCATAGACATATCTAGGCAGGCAGAGAAGTCTTGAATGCAAGAAAACCAACAAAAAGCCCAAGGAGAGCGGGCAGTTGAATACTTAACGGAAAGAAACAATCTGCTGTCCACTCTACCCTTCACCAGCTCTCCTTGGGGTCAGGATTCATGACCCAGAAGAGGTTAAGGTGCAAGAAGAACAGCAAGCACAAGAGGAGTCTGAATGGTAAATATTAAAGACGAGTTTTGGAAAGTACGCAAGTGGCTATTCTTTAGTGTAAATGCCAGCCTATGGAGTGGAAAGGCTGGAACAAAACTGCATCAAACTTTGCCTGAAGAAGCTGGTGCCGCCACAGTGACAGGCACCGTAGGTCAACACTCTCCTCTAGCCTGGCAAGTCCAACATTCCTCTGTTCAGTGTAGCAAAGAAAAAATAGGTTAAAAAAAAAAATGATGCAATGCACAAGTAAGCGGCAAAGCTCTGGGCCATTTTGGCTTTTTGAAACATTGTCACACGCTTTATAAAGAGCAATTCTCCATTGCTTGATGTGCAAAGTCCTGGTGTTCCCCAACGTTTGCACAGAGGCATGTCTGAGTAGGACTATGTGTAGACGATTGCTCGATGTGATGTAGGTGCACTGATCCTCTACAAAGGCAGTGGCAGGAAAAACACTGCTGAGGTGTTTCCAAAGTATGTCTTCTGTTTGGAGATTCTTTTGAGAGGTCTTCTGATCTGCGTTAACCAAGAGGTTCAATTTTTTTGGTTGTGATTTCTGTGGGAAAGGAGAGCTTTTGACTGGCTGGGTTATTTGACCATGGGCAGTTGTTAAGCTTTCTATCAAGGAGGTCAGTGAGATGTGGAAATGATAACCAGGAAACACTAG